AAAAGATACCAACAACAACAACCAAAACAAGATTTGGAGACAGGTACAAAGTAATGGATTTTTAAGGCAAAAGGTTCACCCTAAACACTTTTAATGCAAAAGGTCTATAAAATCAGCTCTTGACAAAAATACCATTAATGAAGGATGTTATTTAAAAATCACCAACATTATCTCATTCTTTTATTTATTAGTACTATCACCATCCCACCGTTGCCACCACCACCGCTCACTGCCCACCACCATCGCCGCTAACCACCATCATCCACCGCCACAATTGTCGCCCACCATCACAATAATTGCCACCAACACCTACCACCACAACCAACCACTGCTCTCCACCACCACTGTCCACTATTACTATCATCCACCACCCACCGCCACCAAAAACCACCACCACCACCATCGCCGACAAACACCATTGCCCATTACCACCAACCACTGCCACCCAACACCCACCACCACCACCCATCATTACCAACGGCCACCACCATCGCCACCCCACTGACACCATCACAAACCAACACCACCACCAACCACACACCATCGCTGCCCACCACCACCACCACCCACCACTATTAGCCACCACCATCACCCACCACAACCATTGTCGTCCACAACGACAATCCACCACAATTACTCGCCATTGCCACCACAAACATTACCCGTTGTCGCCCACCTCCAATATTGCCCACCACCCCCACCACCAGTCACCCACCACCATAGCCCACCAAAACCACCGTCGCCTAACACTATCTGTCACCACTCATTACCATCACCACCACTAACACCAACACCCATCGTTGCCACAACCACACACCTTCGTCGCCCACCACCACCCGTCGTCGCACCTGCCACCTACCACTCACCACTATTACCCACCGCCACCCACTGCCACCACCAACACCAACACAAACACCCACACCCACCGCCACCATAACCACACACCTTCGCCGTCCATTGCCCACTACCACCACCACCCATCGCCGCCACAACCACACACCTTCGCCGCCCACTGCCACCCACCACCACCATCACTCACTACCCAAAGCAATGAAATACTGATAGTCTCAAAAATATTACAAAAAAACATAAATATTATATTAAATGAAACTCTTATTTTAGAAAATTTTCACAAACAATAAACTTTAATTTATTCAAACATTCAAACTCTTAGTTCATAAAATTGTCACAAACAATGAACTACAAAAATATAAAAAATTTTAATTAAAAAACTTATATCAAAAACAAAAAAAAAATCAAAAAAAAATGAATAAACATAAACAACGAACTCCAAAAATAGTGAACTTTAAATATAATAAAATTTATATTTCACAAAATTTTCAAAAATAGTGAACTTTAATAGAATGAAACTCCTAATTCACTGTGTATTCAAATACAGTAAACTAAAAATAGTGAACAACTGCCACCACTGCGCAACACCACCCACCACCGCCACCACCATTACCATCACTCAAAACAGTGAAAAACCAATAAACTAAAATATATTAAAAAAATATAAAAACAGTGAATTTTAATATAATAAAATTCATAGTTCACAAAATTTTCACAAACAGTGAACTACAAAAGTATTGAAAATTTGAATTAAGAAATATATATCATAAATAGTGAACTTTAATAGAATGAAACTTTTAGTTTACTATACATAAATTTTTCAAACAATAAACGACTAAATTATTAAAATTTTGATTTGAGAAATATATATCAAAAATAGAGAACTCAAAAAAATATTAAGAAAAATATAAACAACAGCAAACTCAAAAAAATATTAAGAAATACATAAACAGTAAACTCAAAAAATGTTGAAAAAAACATAATCAATAAACTTCAAAATAATGAACTTTAATAGAATGAAACTCTTAGTTTAAAAAATTTTCGCAAACAGTGAACTTCAATAAAATGAAATTCCTAATTCAGTATCCAAAATTTTCACAAACAAAAAACTACAAGAAACAACAAAATAAAAATTTTATCGTTGATCTTAAGTTTCACTACCAAGAATCAGGGAATCAACTATAACACTGAGGTAGAGAAATTCACTAATCAAATACAATATTTTATAAAAGATTAAAAAAAATACAATGTTTTATAATTGATTATAAATTTTTAATTTGTAGTTTAAATTATTTTGAAGTATAATTTAAACCTTTAAAAAATTATTAATTAAAAGACAATTAACTCAAAAACATTGAACTTAAACAGAAAACTATACAGTGAACTTAAAGACGGTGAATATGACAATAAGCTTAAAGACGGTGAATGACTAACAATAAAATTGTATAGTAAAATAAAATTACACAGTGAACCTAAATAGAAAATTACAAAATGAACCTAAATAGAAAATTGCACAGCGAACTTATTTGATTCCACTAAACTCTTAATGTATTCTTTCCGCCATCTTGAATTTCAGGAACAATTAGAAATTGACAACCAAAACATATAGTTAACTCACCATACCGACAAGCAACAAAATATTTTCCCAGTCAGCAAAGCCATGACGGGATACGTATAAGAAACATCATCCTAGTGGCCTAATCCATTTTCAAAACTCCAAGTAAATCAACAAATATTCAGAGCAATCAAACGAACTCTTCACTAAAATGCGGTAAAAGTGAATCAACAAGAAGCTATAAATGTTATGATCAATGAACAGAGTGTCGTTGTAAATGTCTTCTTGTAGTCTTCAACTTGTTGGTCTAATATGAGCAGAACAAGGGATTGGACAAAGTCACATGATTCATGTCTCTTTAACAGCCCTAATCATACCGGCTGGAGTTGATTTGATTTCAATTCTTCGATTCGAATTGAATTAGGGCTTATTAAATCACAAAGGTGTACGACCCTCTATTTAGATCTGCTTTTGGGAGGTTTTGAGAGAGAGAGAGATTTTCTCCATGGAGGGTCCTGATGCTGAGACGATTTTAGTTTGATTTGATCTGTTGAATTGGATACAAAATATAGGAAGAGCAAAACCGTCGACAGCAGGATTCGAACCTGCGCAGGCAAAGCCCAACAGATTTCGAGTCTGTCTCCTTAACCACTCGGACATATCGACATTGCTGAACTGCTTATTGATAAATTTAAGTATTGACCTAATGGATTTGTTATTCTCATTCAAAGATATCCTTGGTGGTTGTTTAGGGTCTCACCTCCAGGACATACTCTAGTGCTGTGACGTCGAGTATCTCATGACACGGAGGGTATGAACAATGAAGGTAAGTGGGTTTATCCTACCTTTCCGTGTAAAAGTCACGATCTTTCGTCTTCTTATTTGATATTTTATTGAAGATTTTTTTTTTGTCTATTATACCCGATCAAATATGGTATTTCTATCCGATTTTTAGCTAAATTAATCAGGTAAGAAATCGGGTGAACACTTTTTTAATTATTAATTTTTGAATCATTTTAACAATTTAATTAAATAACATACATCAATTTAATAATACAATAAACCAATAACATTAAAATTAACAACAATTACAATAAAACACAAGAAAATATAAACATAAATCTATCACAATTATTTTAAGTTAAAACCACGTGGTTAGGGAATTAGGGTTTATATATATATATATATATATATATATATATATATATATATATATGATAAAATAGAAAAACGGAAATTAATGGTTATTCCACATTCCTACTCGCTTTAATCGGATGACTAAAAACTCATTCGCATTCCTACCTAATTTTTTCAATTTGTCATTCAATAAGGTTAGATAGGATTGAAAGTTGTGACTAATCAAAAATTTGAACACTCTTATATGCAGGGCTATCCGGCCTTAAAAATGTACCACAGGGGACCATGGTAGGCACCCCTTCCCCAAACTTTAGGATATTTTTATGAGGACCTATAAAATTATTAAACACACTCTATTTGTCCCCTAAATTTTTTAACATTTCAACAATTGTTTTAGTCTTTTTTTTTTTAATAAATTAGTGGTCCACTAACCCTCTAAAATAAATGTTTTACTTTTAAATTGAGTAAATCAGATGTAAGTATTCTAATATATTGGTATGTTGACTAAAAAATAACATTTTTCTTTATTTAACACAATATTTGTTATTTTTTAAGAATAATTTTTGATTTTGATTTATCAATTTTTTAATAATAATAGTCATTAATATAATAAAATACGATACAAAAGACAAAAAGTTGTAACCCAAAAATATTTCAAGAGATTTCAGATTGAGAATTTATCTATAAAATTGATAATGATCTTAACTAAATTTTGCAACTAAATAAAAAATAATTTTACTGCAGACTTGTGATTGTGTGAATTGATAGTAAATTAGTGAAAAATTAATTTATATTTCATTAATATACAAAATTTTAGAGATTTTAAATAACGTTGTATTTTATTGAAACATATAATTTAGTTAAAATGAACTAAAAAAATTATTTTGTATCTTTTTGTTCAAATTTTGTTTCTATTAAATAAAAATTGAATTTATTATGTCACAACAATTATGTCTGGAGTCTTAATTTTTTGGCATTGTGGATTGTATCAATTAGTGAACTATTTTCAGTTATATTTTATCCCCCCACATAGATCCCGCATAGATATTTTTGGCTCCACCCCTTGTACCACATACATTTCTGATCGATGACTGAAAAAATGTTTTTTTTTTCCCGATTGGTATTCCATGGAAGAAAAAATTTAATTATCCTCAACATTTTTTTTATATGTGCAAATATATATAGATGCCATAAATATCAACAGATTAGCAGCAATGCATTTATACCATACAAGTTCACTTCTAAATCAATCAAGCCAGGTTCAATCCAACTAATAAATAGCACCACATTCATTATCAACAAAACAAACATATAGTTCATTCATTGACTTTACTACAAAGTGCACATATCGAAAAGCCAATTGAAGTTTCCCCTACTACATCTACATAGAACATATCAATAATACAGAAAACTAAACAGGAATACTGGAAATTTAAATTGAAGCTGCCATTTTAACTTAGCGCTTCCACGATTTTATGCCTGATCTTATAGACTCGGTTGTATCGTCTGAATAGCAGACTGGCTTGATAAAGCTTACTTTTCCCTTGCGAATGCTGTTGAGGGATAAGTTGCTGCACGTTTGGGGTATGGCAGTGCCTGAGTACGCCTTACATATGTATCTTATAAAGTCCTCATAATCCTGCAAGAAGAGAAGTAATAACATTTCCTGAAGAGATCTACTGTATCCATTTTCTTTTGATCCTAGGTTAAAACGATTCATTTGGTTCATAAAAATAGGAGGTAGTACCAATAATATTTCTTTTTGGATTCATCCTCCGGATAAAATTTATGGTACTAAGAATCAATGAGCCCCATGTACTTAGGATAAAGTTATTAATTGTTTGCCAAGAAATTCACAGAAAATAAGAAGAATTTGTTGCTTTAGAAAAAAGCACTGCCTTCTAGTCTATGGTCCAATCGACACAAACAGTGAAAGTACAAAAACGTCCACAATATGGTGACAGAGTCGAAGAAACTAACTTCATAAAGTGGCTGTCCATCCACAACTACCCATGGCACATATGTATGGGGAGGTTCAAGGGCATTTGTTTCTGCTGCATATTGTAGTTCAAGCTGGCATCAAGTTCCAAAATATTAATCAACCAGAAAAATGTAAGATGAGGAAAGTTTGCACTGATAAAAAAATATATATATGACAAAAAGAAAGGAAAAAGAATGAAAAATTGAAGTAAATGATCAAATTTGAGAGAGTAAGAAAGTTCAATAAGGAGGCATCCACACTGAAGTATGAGCCAACAAGCTAAGATGGGGGAAAGTTGCAATTCCCCTTATTGGCGGGATCATCAAACACCACAATCAAACACCAAATGTTAGTTGTATACTATTTATATTTATGCAGTCCTACTGGCTTTGAAGTTCAATTATGCTGTAATTTAAGCAGCAATGTAGTATTAATTGTTGTTTGGGCATCCTAATATTTTTTCCCGGGTTATCATCTATACTTTCCAATAATAACAGAACACTACACAGGTGAATCACCTTGAATAAAAACCTGCAAGGATATATAAGCAATCAACTTAGCAATATTTTCAGTCAATTTCTCGAAGCATTCAATAAGATTCTTATGCACTTTCTTCCTTTGGTGACTATCCCCTTGATTTTTCAGCTAACTTTTCTGGTCTTGACAGGACAAAGAATGAAATACAACAAAAAATTTCGACATCAGTGACACATCTTTTAGCCCAACTTTTCTTAATAGTCATTCTACCTACAATCAGTTGCCTGTACTAGAGGATATGGTTATTGTAAGGGGAATTCTTCCCCTCCACGGAAGGATTCTGGCTCACCTGGGTGACCACCCAATAGCCTTTACCTCTCGTCCCACATCGGGAGAGAGTCGTCTCCCCCCTACCAAATAGCCCTTACCTCTCCCGATGTGGGATGAGAGGTAAAGGCTACTAGGTGGTCACCCAGGTCAACCAGAATCCTTCCGTGGAGGGAAAGAATTCCCCTTACAGTTATTGACAATTGATAGGAAAGAGAGAAAAATATCTGTCAGTTGCTAGGGTTGGATGAAGACAAAAGAACCATGAAGAAATTTGCTAGCAGAAACTCAACCGCAGCACATCTTTTCCTGATTAATTTGAATTTAAGAGACTCCAACCGGGCTGTCAAATCCTTCATTTTGAAAATAACCAATGCATGCTTACATCGAAGACAATTTTTTTTGCTAGATAATGAATTTGCTGCATAAGTTGTTTTTGAATGTCTTACCAATTTAGAAAACCATCTCAGTGGACAGGAAATGAACACCATAAACTGAAATGCTGCAGGAAATCTATGATATTCGTGCATGTCTATTGTTTGACAGATAGTAAGACTATGGATATAACATTTTTCTGCAGTTCAACAGACATTGATACTCGATAGGAGGAAACCAGAATCAATTTAGACCCGTGCTCATATTTAAGAAGAGTGGTTCTTACATACTAATTTACAAATCGAGGAATTAATTTAAGGCGAGAAGATGGCAACCAAGAAATCTAACCTCCTTCCCCTGTCCGTTACTATAGCAATCAGCAACAGGCTTTGGATCCAAACCCAGTTTCTCAAAGCATGTTTCCCACTGGGTATACTTGCCCTCATACACTAGCGATTCAACGCAATAGACAAAAGTAAAGTGACCATTCTGCATTCAACATATAACAAAGCTATCAGGGGAGGTGGATAATTCAAAGGAAAATCGTAATTGATCTTCATTGCAAGGTAAATTACATCAAGAGAAAAAAAAAAGGACATTGTTTCTTTCTATGTGAAAATCTAAAACCAATCCAAATGATAATCATAATTGCTTAGACGTTGAGTATATGTAGGTACACTGACCTTCCCGAAAAGAAAAAACGAAAGATATCTCTATACAAGTTTATCTATCTACAAGGATGCAGGCAGAAGAATCAACAACCATACACTGCCATTGCTCTCATACCCAACAGTCATTTTATTACCCGAACTTTTCACGTGTAGAAATTAAAAGTGAAACTTACCACATCAGGCCAGGCGCTGATTGCACATGCTTCCACAGTGTTCAGCAAACATTCCCATGGACCATGCTACAACAATACAGAAAAAATCCATCAGCTTAAGACCTTCAGTCAAGATCACACACACACACACACATATATATATATAGCCTAAGAAAAATTATATGGGTCAACGGTAAAAACCGAATGTTTTTCCCAGGAATAGAGGGTTAAAAGGTGAAGTGAAAAGAATTGCAGAGGACCTGGCAAGCGAAGGTGCTGTTGCCCGTGAGCTTGGCATTGCCCCAAGGGACAAGATTGAGATCCACGATGTCAATAAGTCCATCAACGAAGATTTTTGCCAGATAATTAACGACGAAATTGGCACTGTAAGGGCAAAGGCTCTCGTAGTATAGTCCCAGAGAGACTTTATCGGAAGAGTTGAGAGGGAGATCAACAGAGAAGACCGTTGAAGTTGAAGAAATGAGACACAACGAGGCAAAGAAAAGAAGGCAAGAAAGCACGGAGAGATCTATAAATCGATGGGACGCCATTAGAGACCCTGAATTGAGAATTTTGGGACAAGGGTTTTTGGATTTTTGAGATTGTTTTGTGTGTTGTGCGGATCAGAGAGTCGTCAAATCCGCCATATCTGCAGTGTGGTCTTTTAGTTCGGAACGGTAGAGAGACACTGTCAAGTGGAATCTAAAGAGCGGCCTTCCTTTATTCACCATCTATTTAATATTAATTTTAAACTCTCAACTTACAAATACACAGCGATTAACATTGATTCAATAACACAAAATTCATACCATGATGTTTGATAAAATTAAAACTCAAGTTTGAAAACTAAAAGTTGAATGTTGAATTTATGGATTATTTGGTATTCACTGAAATTTCAGTATTGAATTGAACTAAACTGTTTGATAATTACAGACAACTGACGTTTGAAAATAAATTAATTTTTAATTTTATCTTTTTTTTCACTTTTTAATTTGAAAATATTTATAAAATATGTCATAACATAAATCATAAAAATAAATAAATAATATTTTAATAACACAATAATTGAACAATAACAAATTGAATAACATAATAAGTAAACAATAATATTTGATAAAAAAAAAAGAACAATAACTAATAAATAATCAAATAATATTAAAAATATATAATAAATTAGATTTCATTACCAATATACGCGTGTGTAATTATGTGTGTGTGCAGTGCATATGTCTGTGTGTAAGTATGTGTGCGCAGTGCGTGCGTTTGTGTATGTAATTATAATTATATAAGTATATTTTTGTTACAGAAGAGAAGGGAAAGGGAAAAAAAAATCGACAAGGAGAATATATAAATTAGGAGTGTTGAAAAGAAGACTAATTAGAGTTTTAATAAAATTATAAAATATTTAGGAGTATAATTGTCATATTGTAAATATTATTTAAAATAATTTTGCTAAACGTTTTCAGCTTTCATAATTAAGTAAGAGATTTTCTACTTAATATTATAGCCTATTTTTTAAGAGCATTTAACATATTAAGAGAGTTTAAATTTTGGTTATTAAACGGACTTAATTAATAAGTGCTGAATATATTCATTTTAAGTGTTGAATTTGGGTTAACAAACACACCCCTATCTCTTTTTTATTTTATTTTTGTTCATCTAATTTAAAATTGTGTGATTAAAGATAAAAAAAAATTAAATTTAAATGTTAAGTGATCAATGTTCGATTTATTATAAAGTATTTTCAAACACTAGATTATTGGTAGGGGCAACAATACCATGTGGTGCGAGGTCAGAATTATAAGTTAATATTTTTCATTAAATTTTGATATTTAATAACTTTTAGACCCCGTTTGAATAGTGATAATCTTACCATTTCCATTTCTAAATTGAGAGATTACAATGGTTGGGTAGTTGATGGATCGAGAATTCACATCGAGAATAAGATTACTATTAGAATCAAATTCCCAATGATTGTGGAAATCTTTAAATTGACCATCAATGGTGGTAATCCCGTCCCCAACTTATTTGGGTATTTTTTAAATGAAAAAATTAAATTTAAAGTCCTTCCCAAAAAAATTGTTTTATTATTAGAGTCAAACTTACCTTTGGAAAATCATATTTCTTCTTAAAATGAAGTTCATTACTAAATAGACAAATAAAATAGATATTCATTCTCATACTAAATTATCACGATATTAAAAAATCCGAGTATTCCTTTACTAGGCATGAGATACATATTCCAGAATAAGATTATTCTCAGCCAAACGATGCCTTAGGTTTTAGCAAGAAATATGTCAATTTGTAAGTTTGGGTGCATTATTCTTAATTTTTCTAAAACTCAAATTGAAATTTATATATAAAAAAAAGCGAAAATTGAGATTGAGACTTCCTTAAGGGGCTTATATTGACTTGAGTCCATAAAGAAAATTTATTTGGTGATAAGTCTATTTTTTATCTTAATAATAAGTAGTTAAGTCCACTATTTTTTTAAAACTTCAAAATATTCTTCTTATAATATTTTAATAGTATTAGACCTTAATTCTATTTCCCAATCGGGAAGGAAAATGTTTCATAACCCAAATGAAACCCAAAAATTAAAACTCAAATGCATTTTATCCATTGGATGAGTGTGGGATAAGTGAGCATCATTGAAAAAATTGATGGGACTCATTCATTCAAGGGATAATATGTATTTTGGTTGCAACTTTTTGGGTTTCATTTGGGTTTTGTAGCATTGCTCAATTGGGAAATATTCAGATTCTTTACCCCTTAATTCTACTCTTAATTCGTGCTCATAAGATCTGACCATAAAATTTAAAATTCAAATTTATGATCCACATTATTTTAGTTGTTCCCAACAATTCTGAGTTTTTCTTCTCCACCATGAACGAAGATGTTCCCGCTGAAACTCACCACCAAAAAACTCTTGATTCCATTAATATGCACCCACCGTGAGCAGAGCTTTGATTCCACCCAAATTGCCCTCAGATTTTGTCGCAATGCCAAGTAGAATTGTGTACTAACTCGGATTCAATCAAGGCCCCGAACAGAGTGGATCTATTTCTATTCATATACGTGGATCGTCGCGCATTATATTGCTATTGTTGTTTGTTAAGGTTGCTGGTATTGTTTTGTTTGTTAGGTCTCGATTTATATGGTTGTATATTTTTATGAAGAATACGACATTGTATTGATACAATTTTTTTTTCCATGTTACTATTTCTGTTTTGTTGTACTTGTGCATGTTACTACCTCTTTTAATGTTACTATTGTTTATTGAACATACTACTATTTTTTTTATAATCATGTTACCGTTAATATTGAATGTTACTATTTTTTCAAAAATATCAATATTCAATGTTAATATTTTTTATTGAGTATATTATTATTATTTTTTTTAAATATGAATATAAAATGTTACTATTTTTTTTTATTTTTGAATGTTTTTGTGTTTAAATGGTATTATTTTTTGTATTTAAATTGTACTATTTTTTGTGTTTGAATGTTACTATTTTTTGTTTTTAATGTTAATATTTAATATTACTATTTTTCTGATGAAATATCAATATTCAATGTTACTATTTTTTATTGAGTATGTTACTGTTATTTTTTCAAATATTAATATACAATATTACTATTTTTTATTTTTGAATAATATTATATTTTGTGTTTAAATGATATATATATATTTTTTTGGTGTTTAAATGATACTATTTTTTTATATTTGAATGTTACTATTTTTTATTTTTAATGTTATATATATATATAATAAAATAGAACTGAGTTTGAATTTTAGAAACAAATAAAGGTCCAGATTGTTTTGAAACAAAACATAAACACATATAACGGACGATGTAATTTCAGCATAAAAAACGGTTCAGATCATTTCATAAATATTAATCCGACGGTCTATAGTGAGTACTGAATTTTGTTTTCCCTCCCAATAACATTTCTTGACTCACGTCTCTCTCTCTCTCTTCTCCAAAATCTCTAAAATCTTCCCCAATCCCATCCAAAACCCAAATCTCCCCCCCCCCCCATTTTAGATGCAAACACACGACACCCCCAAGCATTCCAACTCAAGCCAAACTCTCTCTCTCTCTCTCCTCTGCGGATAAAGACACTTATCTCATTCCCTCTCACTCTCTCACCAATCGCTCCTCTACCATGGCTCAATCAGCAAATGTCGCCCAGGTACCTCTCCCTTTCTCTCTCTCTCACGTCGCACCTCTTTCTGTCTCACGACACACACACTCACATATTGAACCCCTACAAGCAATCCAGCCCCACTCTCTGTTTGCCCTCTTCTATCCTTCTCTCTATTTATTGTTTTTTTCTCTCAAAGACCTACCGCCAACCACCCTCACCAATTGTCCATCTTTAGAGAACCATTTAGACCACCACTATCGACTGCCACCCTCCTCTCTATGTATTTTCTTCTCTCTCAAAGACTCACCGCCACCCTCTTTCACTGACTATCTATATTCAGAGAGCCATTTAGACCACCACCATCGACTGCCACCCCATTCTCTGTAACGCTCACTCTGTCTCTCAATAATGTCAAAGCAAAAGATAATTCGAACACCAAGTGTTTGTTGTATTGCTTCAACGAGGTGGAGTTGTCTATCTATTTGATTTTTCACTAATTGTTCATCTCTCTAATTTTTTATTTCCTGTCCATGTTTTTAAGTGTCATTTTTCATCTATCGAGTTTATTTTCCTGTTTTCAGTCTTGAGATTATGTTTTATTTTTTTATTTTTTTTGTTGTGTGTTTGTACAATTTGAACATTTTATATTTGTTTTGATTATTCTTTTAGGGCCTACTCCAAAGTAAGTTCTGTTGCGTGTTTTTTCATTTGTAGTAATTCTTCTTCTTTTTTTTAATGTCATTGTCTTTTGAAAGGTTTGGCGCATAGAAACTAATGAAAAAGATGAGCAATGACAGCAGGAACCACCATCTTGACAAAGGTAATGTTGTCTCTTCTTGATATTATTTTTGAGCATGTTTCTATGGAGGACTATATAGTTTGAACAAAATTAAAAAATTGAAATTCTTCATTAAATTAGCTCTCCTTTTTTTATATTTGTTTAAAAGAATTGTTTTGTTGTGTGCTTGGTTGCCTATAATAACATATCAATTACTTTAGTTGTTTATTTGATTTTTTTTCAAATTGGGTGTTAACTTGGGTGTTTTGTAGGAAATTGAATGTTATAGTTTCAAATTGGTAGTTAAGTTTTGAGCAATTGATGCTGGGGTTTTTAATTTGGGATTTTTATGAAACCGTGTTTGTCACATTTCAATTTTGGGTTATTTTCATGAAATATAATTGTAAGGTTTTGATTGAATGTTATAGTTGTTTGTGATATTTTGATTGAATATTAGAGTAGTTATGGAAATGAACTTGAATGTTAGGTTTATTTTAATTGCGATTGGGGTTTAATTTCATAATTTTTTAATTTTTTTATGAAATTGGATGTTGGGGTTTTGTTGGGTGTTACTTTAATAACATAGGGTTTTGCTATTTTGAATTATTTTAGTTGAGTATG